ATATATGATTTTCAGTTGGGGATTTTTCTGTTTCAAAGTTTTGTATATGTCATCCCATTGTCTTATTGCCTGAATAGTTTCTGATAACAAATCAGAGCATAGTTTTATTGACTCTACTTTGTAGGTAACTTTTTGCTTTACCCAAACTGCTTTTGGGATTCTTTTGTCTTTGGTTTTGGAAAGTTTGATTATGATATGTCTCCGTTATTTTCTTTTGGGATCTATCCTGTTTGCATTTAGTTCAGTTTCTTGTATGCTTATCTTCTCCTCTTTCCTGATGGTGACGTTTTCTTCCAACAACTCTTTGACAATTTTCTTTGTTCATTTTATTGTCTATTCCTGTGCGGGAATTCTTACCACTTAAAAGTTACTCCCCTTTGTGGTGTCCCAAATAACTCTTAGGCTTTCTTCAGATTTTCTCTTTCTTTTCTTTTCTTTTTTTTGATTGTTGTTTAGCATACTGCTATTGAGAATTTTATCATCAAACTCACTAATTCTTGCTTCCATTACTTCAAATCCATTCTTTTGCCCTTGCAATGTATTGCCTGCCCACTTCTGAAATTTTAGTATTTTCTGGATTTCTAATTGCAGGTTTTGTATTGTTTCAAAATTTCCATTTGTTTGTCTGTTTGTTTTGTAGTGTTTTTTTAAATTCTTTTAATGCTTCTATGTTCTCCTTGCTTTCCTTCATCTTTCTGTCAATTCTTTGAAGGTACCTAAATATCATTCTTTTGAGTTCTTTTTCAGGTAGTTCCAATACCTTTTTTCCTTCAATAACAGTTTTTGCCTCTGCATCTTGGACATTTGAATCATTCTCTCTTTTTCTTTGTGTGAGCTAAAAATGTATGATATCCTTGGGACATTGTGGTGGTGTCATATTTGTATGTCATTGATGATTGTATATTGATATGTTCCTTGTCTCTTACCAACGTTTTCTATAGGTATAGTTAGAGAATGCAAATGTGTGTATCATTCTCTGTTTGCCATTCATGCAGCTCAGTTTTCGGTGGGTTTGACTAGTGTTGGCTGCTGTCTATTTTTGATCAGGTGGTATAGTATTGTTGTTAAGTGCCATCAAGTCAGTTCCAACTCAAAGCAGTTTTGTGTAAGGGTTCCCAAGTAGCTCTTGCCCAGTAGGTGGAGTTTGATATGTTACGTTTCTGGCTGGGCTATGTGAGCATGTTTCCTGTCTCCTGTCTGTTGGGAAAGAGACCCCCCCCCACACACACACACACAAAAGAAAAAAAAAACCCAACACAATAAACAAAACATGTAGCCAACAATGAAAAGAGAAAATAATAAATACAGACAGCAACCAAAAAAACAAAAGAGGGGCAGGAAAATGGAACTATAGAAGAGAAAAATAGGAGAAAAAGTAAAAGAAAGAAATAAAAACTTTTCAAAAGCAGGTAGGGGGAAAATGAAAAGAGAGTGGCGGTGGTGGCTGTGTACTGTGGAGTCTATTCTGACTCTTAGGGTTTCCGAGGCTGTAAATCTTTACGGGACCAAAAAGCCTCATCTTTCTCCTGCGGAACAGCTGGTAGTTTCAGACTGCTGACCTGGAGGTTAGCAGCCTGACTTGTAACCACTACACTGCCAGAGCTCCTTGAAAAGAGAGAGTAGAGAGTATTAAAGAAATATCAAGGGGGGAGTGGGGGAGGAGGGGAAATCAGAAACAGAAGAAAAGAATGAAAAATAAAGCAGAAATAGGATAAAATTCAAGGGAATGGAAAGAGGAGAAGAAGAAATAAGAATAAACCAACAAAACCAACAAGAGGGAAAAGACAACAAAAAATATAGGGCTGTTGTTGGACCCAGAAAGACAAAAACTCTGAGTAGCTTCTGCCAACCACGGAGCTCAAGAGGTGGTATAGGAGAGATGTAACAGTACAGTTCCTGGCCCTACATGGAGTTCCAGTAGGATACTTGTGTTCAAGGCTCTCAATCCTCAGTGGTTCATGGAGACCATTGAGGGCAGCTGTGGGCAGGGTGCCTGGTTATGAGTGCTTCTGCTAGACAAATATTGGAGTCCTAGTGTGATGCTGTAGGATAAAGCACTGGAACATAGGGTTGGTTTGAACCACAAGGTCACCAGTTCAAAGCCACCAGCCACTCCTCAGAAATGCTATAAAGGGACACTATGAGTCAGAACCAACTCCATGGCATTTAACAATAACAGCAGTGTTGTTAGTCTGGTGGCTCTGCAGATTCTTTTAAGTCTGAAGCAAAGCCTGCCTGTATCCAGACGTCAGAGCGGCACAGCTAGCCTCACTCTGTTATGACTCACAATCACAGTTCTTGGAACTCCTGGAGACCATGGTCTGGGGTGAAGGTGGATGAGGATTAGAGCTAGCCACACCTCTGATCACCAGGGGAACATGGGGAGAAAAATGGAATTGCACTTTTCCAATGGCTGTGTGAATCTGCTTTGCCTGACCTGACCACCTTCTGTCGCCAAAGGTGCTCACAAAAGTTCAAGATGGTGGCGCCACCATCTGTCTGGCCATTTACCGTCGGTTTCTCTCTGATGCAGGTCTTTGCTAAGCTTTTTCTCCCAGCAAGCACTCAGTCTACTTCTCTTAAGTTTTTCTCTGAAGTTCAGGGTTTCAGAATTTTTATCTGTGTCTATTTCATTTGTTCTCTCACATCTTTGTTGTAGAGGGTCTGTGTAGTGTGTTTGCCTAGTCTGCCATCTCGCTGAAAGTCTCCTGTCTTTTCTATCTTGGTATCTTTTGGTGAACATAGTTCTTAATTTCCATTCAGTAATGTATACTGAGTATATAATGGAGTCCTGACGTGGCACCGTGGGATAATGTGCTGGACTGAAAGGTTGGTTTGAACTGCAAGGCAGTGGTTCAAGCTCACCAGGCACTCCTTGGAAACCCTATGCAGGGTCTCTGTGGGTCAGAACCTACTCGATGGCACTTAACAACAGCAACAATGTATACTAATCTTTTATTTTATGGTTTATTTCCTGTCTCATGCTTGATTGTTTTAGCTTCCACATTTAAATCTTTTATCTCAAAGTAAGTTTTAAGTATGATGTTAAGTAGATAGAAAAGTGAGACTTTTTTCTTTCTTTATGCATATCCAGTTGGTCCCATACTATTGTTGAGAAAACTCTTCTTACTGAATTATAGTGAAAACTCATAAATCATATGATTATATATATCTGAATTTTTGAACTTTCTTTTTTATTGTTTCATTGGTTTCTTGGTATATTCTGGCACCAGTAACCTGTCTTAATCATGCTAGAGCTGTATATTATTTATCCTTCAGTCCTTTGTTCTTTTCCTTCACATCTTTAGGTTCTTTATAATTCTATATAGTTTTGAGAATCAGCTTGTCAGTTTTCAAGATAAAAATCTTTCTAGGATTTTGATTAGATTTATGTTGAAATTTATATACCAGCTTTGGAAGCCCTATACAGAATTGCTGTTAAGTCAGAACCAACTCAAGGACACTTAACAATAACCACAGCACACAACAGCATAGACCAATCTGGGGATCTCTGGCATCTTAATGGTGCCAAAGTTTACAATTTATGAAAATGCAGTGAGATTTTCTGAGCTGAAGCTCCATGGAACTACCTTATTTACCTGGGTCTTGCATGTTTTCTGCCTTTGACAGGAAAGAGTCTTAGCACTTTTTTATTGCTCATTTGAGTGCAAAACATAGGAGTTTTCCTTTTCTGACAGATTTCAGTCTTACACAGGTTCTGGCTTTCGCAGGTTTTATTATAATTGTATTTCTCCGTTTATCTTTTGTTATGTTTACTCCTAGGCGTTTGATAGTTTCTTCAAGCTGCTTCAAATTCTTTTGCTTTTAAAATTTTATCTTTCACAGTTCTTACTGGTGTAGAGACACAATTGAATGCTGGTTCTTTAGTTACAAACTTATGGAGAATTTTGTTTATAAGTGTAATACTACACCAGTGAAAAATTTAATTTTTTAAAAAAGCATTTTAAAAGAATGTGGTGGCTGCATGAAGAATAGAAGGTGGTGGTGGTGAAACAGATTTGGAATCCAGGAGATCTTTTAGAAGTCAGTTAGGAAGGAGCCTCAGCATGAACCAGACCAGAGACTAGAGTGGGTTAACATAGGGTGGGCGTATGGGAATGGTGAGAAGCAGTTGTACTAGATAGAAGTGTGTTTTACTGATTTAGAACTTGCTGCTGGATTGGATGAAGGAAGTGAGGGAAATAAATGAATACTCCTGAATTGTTATTCTGATGAATTACATAGCAATAACAACAGGAGTCTTAGTGTGGCGCTGTAGGCTAATACGCTGGACTGCAAAGTCAGTTTGAACCGCAAGGTCGGCAGCTCATGCTCACCAGCCGCTCCTTGGAATCCCTTTACAGCGTCACTGTGGGTCGGAACCGACTCGACAGCACTTAGCAACAACAATACAGCTTAAAGTTTATAGAATTTCTGTAAGGAATTTTTGAAAATTATGTTTTCAAGAGACATATAATTAATAACTGAGAAGATAAATTATACACTTAACATTTTGAATCTTATCAACTTTGAACATATTGTCAGGAGGGACCAGTCACTGGAGAAGGATATCATGTTTAGTAAGGTGGAGGGTCAGAGAAAAAGAGGAAGACCCCCAACGAGATGGATTGGCCAAGGGGCAGTACCGATGGACTCAAGCATGGCAACAGTAGTGAGGTTGGCCCAGGATCGGGCAGAGTTTCGTTCTGCTGTGCATAAGGTCGCTATGAGTCAGTACTGACTCAATGGCACCTAACAACAACATGTTTATTGATGCTTTATGGTCTAGCATACAGTCTGTCCTAGAGACATTCCTTGTGTACTTAAGAATGCTCATTCAGCGTAGTAGAGTTGCTTGGTTTAATATTGGTTGCTTATTGGAATATTCTATAAGTGTCCAGGTTCTTGTTGGTTTAGTGTTAATTAACTATGAAACAGTATTTATTTTGTCTATTAAAATTTAGTGGAAAATTAAAGTGGATAAACATTTTTTATTTTAGGTTGAACTCCCTCCACCTGACCTTGGACCAAGTTCTGCACTAAATCAGACGCTTTTGTTGTTGCGTGAAGTTTTGGCATCTCATGATTCTTCAGTCGTGCCTTTAGATGCTCGCCAAGCTGATTTTGTGCAGGTATATTGTAAACTTTATAGCAACTGATTATTGTACCTCTATTGTACATTCTGTTCATATTCTTCTGAGATTTTGAAGTGTCACTTTTTAGTTGAATATTTCGTCTCATATTTAGTCAGTGCTCTTTAAGAAATATTATTCAATGATACCTATTTTTTAATAAACTTATAAAAAATATTTTTATGTGCTTCTGAAAGTTGGCCACATTTTAATTAGTTTGGTATTAATTCTGAAATATTAGCCCAGAACCATAAAACTAACTGGGGAATAGAGAATAAATTAATTTTTGTTGTTGTTCCTTTATAGGTTTTATCCTGTGTCTTGGACCCTCTCCTTCAGATGTGTACTGTGTCGGCCAGCAATCTAGGCTCAGCTGACATGGCTACTTTCATGGTCAACTCTCTGTATATGATGAAGACAACTTTAGCTTTGTTTGAATTCACTGACAGACGTCTTGAGATGCTACAATTTCAGGTAAGTGTTGCTATAAAGATAACTACTGACTGTAATAAAGTATTGTTTCTTTATATGGTAATTATCAGGCATGAGTTTTAACCTAATTTCAGTTACTTAATCTCTCCTGGTGTGGCGCTGTACAATCAGCACTGGACTATGAACCACAAGGTCAGTGGATCAAACCCACCAGCTGCTCCTTGGAACCCTATACAAGGTTGCTGTGCATTGGAACTGACTTGATGGCACTTCACAACAGTAATTCCTATAAAGGGAGTGTTGTGGCTCCATAGGATAAATACTGGACTGC